CTCTATCCACTGAGCCAAACCGGTTAGGGCACTCTGTGTTTCTTTAACAGGCACTGGCTCACTTCATCCTCAAGAGCTGGATTATTATGTTAATTATTTCCAGAGCCCAGAGGTTAAACATGGTCAGAAAATCAACCAAATGAGATGGACAAAGCTGGCTTTCAAAGTCACATCTGTCTGAACAAAGCAACGGTCTGAATCAGGACACCAGATTTCCCGACATGGCCAGGGTTTCCCCAGGAAGGCTTTCTCCAGGTTCATCCACCTCAGGAGTGTCCTGCAGAGCCCTCTGGAGAATCAGCCTCAGGGTGTGTCTCCGCTTCCACCATCGCTGCCTGAAGGAGCCAACGAAGAAGTAAATGATGGGGTTGGCACAGCTGTTGACACAGGACAGGAGAACTGCCGCCAAGAAATGAGGAATGAAGGCACTGAAATATTTTTGAAACCAGATTAAGAGGAACCAGTGGATGCCAAAGGGCAGGCCGCAGAGGAGGAAGACCAGCACTGTGAGCACCACGGTGGCATGGAGCCTTGTCAAGGGAACCCGGTTGGAGCCACACAGCAGTCTGGTCATCAGGGCCAGGCTGGACCCAGTGAGAAGCAAAAATAATAAAGTCAGCCACGCCACAGTGATGAAATCCAACAATGGGCACCAAACATGATGCATGCTCCTCACCAGGAAGCCACAGTAGTTCCCTTCCAGGATGCTCAGCAGCAGGGACAGGGCCCACAGCAGGGCACACATGCCCGCTGATCGGTGCCTGGGGCGGCGCCACGGTACCAGATGGGCCACAGGACAGACAGGCCGTGCTCCGTCCTGATGGTGCTGAGAAAGCTCAGGCCCGAGATGTAGGCAAACACAGACACAGTCATGAAAAAGTCTGGGATGGATATGGAGATGAGAAAGAAGTTTCTGATGAGTGTTTCTAGGGCATCTATAATATAACAGCAGAGTAAGAGGAAGTCGGCTCCAGCCAGGTTGAGGATGTAGACAGAGAAGGCGTTCCTCTGCATGCGGAAGCCCAGGAGCCAGAGCACCACCGAGTTCTCCGCCAGCCCCACCAGGGCCACGATGACTGTCAGTAATTGCAGGATTAGGAACTCTGTTTTGAAAGTTTGTTCTCTGTTGAGGTCCAGCCCCAGCAGGTCCAGGGGTTCCCAAAGGTGTGGACGGAGTCGGCGAAGAAGGAATGACACAAAGACAGCGTTCAGTTGATCAGCATGGTTGGGTTCTCTCACTTGGTTCTATACTGGATCTCCAGCCAGGTTCTGTGTAGGATCTCCAGCCAAGTTCTGCCTAGGTTCTCCAGCCAGGTTTGGTAGCCATGTTCTCTCCCTAGGTTCTCCAGCCAGGTTCTCCATGTTCTCCAGCCAGGTTCTCTCGCCAGGTTCTGTGTTTTATTGTCTTGTTACATCTGTATTTATACTAGTTGATTTTAATCCTGTCAATTTCTATTCCAAAGGTTAGGGCGTTTCTTATCTCCATTCCAGGGAGTAAAGATTATGTAGCTTAATCGAGATTGTTAATAGTCAAAGTGATTAACTACCCGCCTGGCAATTAGTTGAGGGATTTTATTCCCTCACTAACTTCAGGGAAAAATCCCTACCTGGGGAAACAACATTTCTCGGAGAGGTGACCTTGGTTAGAACACATAGCGCCAAGAAGGGGAGCAAACACATCAAGAACAGTATGCCATATATGCCAGGTTCCCCAAGACATATGCTGTGCAGATGTTTCTTCCCTGCAGCAACCATGTCAAGCAGCAAGGATGGACTGGCTTCCAGCAGTTCTCTTCCACTTATTGATGTTAATTCACTGCTCCAGGCTGTGACAGATAGATTCATGGTCGAGAACCCTCCACTGGTGCCACTGGAACAGAAACAAGACTTGAGCACCTGGTGCATGATCAGTGAGTCTCATGATCACCCTGCTACCTGGGAATTACTGTCTGTGTTACAGAGATTATGATACCAAAGGCATCACCACCTTGGAGTCCTGGAACCCGGATTCAAACCCAGTTCTCTCTGACTCTAGAGTCAGGGCTCTCTCTATGCAACATGGACCTTCTTCTGACATGGGAATAGCCTATAATTCAAATACCTCCACTCATAGTCGGAGACCATGTCATGTCTTCCAGAGGCAGGAGAAGCATAGTCTGGACAGGTAATGTGGGATGACAGCAGGACTCGAGCTCACCATTGCTTCTGCCCTGAGACTGAGATTTCCTTTCAAGGGCTCAAAGTTGAAAGTCCCAGCCATGACCTCTGGGTTTTCTCAGTGACTGAAAATGTCCACCCTCCAGAAAGAAGATCGTCATTTTGGGTTCTTTATGATAAGATAAATGGAATACACTCTCTTGCTATGAGGGGTATGAGTATGACCCATCCTCTTGTGTTGGAAATGGCTGAGTGTGTCATCTCTATGAGGACAGGAAGTACTTTTCTCCTGAACAGTGGTGTGTCTAGTGGGACACAGTTTAATTCACTCTTATAATGGATTTTTTCTTAGAGCAGCCAAAATAATAAATAGAAAATACTTATCATTAATAGTGTGCTCCCACTTTAAAAAATACACACCAAACAAACTACATTTTATTATCAAGGCATTTATGATGATAGCAAGAGATTATTCTAAAAAGTGAAACCCACAGAGTCAAAAAACAAACTGAGGAGATACAATGAGAAGTTGATCTTATTGATCTCAAACATACGAAGAGAGAGAGAGTGAGAGAGAACAGGAAAACCAACTATTGGGAGACGATAAGAAGAGATGGGTTTCTTCATTTGACATCAAATCACATTTTCAGCTTCTCTATCCTCCTCTGCATCCTGGGAGACAGGTCCCTTTTCCTCACCACTGGACCCCTTTCCCTCAGTCTCCTGATTGCTCTCAGGAAGGAGACACAGGCAGTTGGTTGGAGGGTAGTAGGAGGGCAGGTTTCAACTCCCTGGCTCTCTGATGTCAGGCTGTGAGTTGGCCATGATGGTGTTACTCTACCTAAGGACATAGCCCCTGAATGGTTGCCTTTCTTATGGTCAAAATGACAACCTCCGCTACAGCTATAGCCTCGCTGTATTCTGGTACCTTATCTTTCCCTTTACCCTTCAGGAGTAGCTCTCTTATGACTTATCTTTAGAGGCCTCTCCATCTTCATCAATTTCCCTTACTTCTCCTCACCCCTTTGTACATATTCCCTTTATTAAACTCTCTTTAATTACTCATTAGTTTGTGCTGTGTGTTTTATGGGGGAACAAAAAGATATAAACATAACAAAGAAATCCATGGAACAGTAAGCTAATGTGTGCAAGCTGAGGTTATTAACAACAATTCAGGTTTGAAAACAATGTCTGTGAAGCTGAAAGAACCTGGGTACCTCACAGCCCAAGTTAACAGCACCCAAAGCTTCCCTGAGGGAGCTTCATATCTCGGGACTCTCCTTCATGGGTGCCCATAGCTCCTTGCACACTCCACCCCAAGATACAGTGGTGACCATGTGGACTAAAGGGAGAAAACAAAACTACCTTTGAGAGAAGGTAGTTCTCAGCTGACTCTTACCTGAGCACCATCTTCTAGTTGAAGGTGGTGAGTAGAAGAAGAGGAGCTTTCCAGGGAGTGCTGAGCACCAGAGAATGCTCTCCTACCCCTGGATAGGAGGTGTCTGCAGGAGCAGGAGTGGAACCTGATGACCAACAGAGGCTTATCAAGATGCTGGGCAGCCCCTGTGACTTCCTGCCCAAGGGACACTGGCCAATGAGATTCTGTAGATGTGAGAGAAGGGCCTCATGAGATGCTTCTCATTTGCCCTGAGTGCAATGACTTATCTGTTCCTTGCTCCATCTTACCCCTGTGGTCCCCCTCCAGTGATGAATGTTTGATCTAGAGCCTGTCATGCCCACTGTGGGTTTGTGCAGGAAGCCCACCCAACAGGCAATGTCAGCTTTCATAGCCAAATAATAGTTTGCTTGGCAATCAGGGCCCTTCATGGCCTGGCTCATCTGATCTATTTCCATTTACTCCCAGGAGTAATGAATGAACCTGAGTTTATTTCAGAGGACACAAGAGTATACAGAATAAAGATGTAAAGTTTCTCCTAATCTCAATCACCAATAGCAACCGATGTTTACAGTTCCCATTTTAACTCTTTTACAAGTTATATTATAGCTTTGTGTAATGAAACCTCCTTTCTAGTTGTGACTTATCAATATCAACACCTGTGTAAACTGTGTTACTTTTTAGCAGATAAAGAATTTAGCACACCATTACCCAACTCTATTACTACTGTGTGCTAAACTGTGCCAGGCAGTGATCCAGGCATAGAAGATGCTGTGGATAAATGCTACCAGAGGGCCTTTTACAGGCCCAATTTCTTGGACTGTGCTTATAAAAAGATATCATTTTTCCTAAACCCAGCCAACCCAATGAGATTAGGGGTAGGCCAACTCGTTTATTCAAGCTTTTACCCTGTAGAATGCCCCCAACCACAGCACTAAGCACGAATGTAAAGGACCTATAGTCTGAGAGAAACATAGGGAGTCTTCATTTTCGATCCAATCAGGTAGAACAATTTCTGAATGACTACTTATGGTTTGGACAGGGATTCTTTTCTTTTTAACTTATTAAATATTACCCCAGAAGTCAATAATATATTAGAGGCTTTACATGTATTAATCACTGATGTTTATGAAATATTCAGTCATATTTGACACCTGGCTGAGTCCTTTTCATCTGTTTTCTAATTTATTTCCCGCTATGATTCTATGAGCCGATGATTTCACCACATTTTACAATGAATTAACGGAGGATTGGATAGGAGAGCTGCAGAACCAGGACTTCAGACCCGGATTTGTCTGATTCAGAGAGGAATTCTTTCTGTTGCAATGAAAATTGTAAAGAATAAATTCAGAAGATTACATGAGAAATTTATTGGTAATGTCAAGGACTATGGAGAGGTATAACATTCAGACTAATGCTTTCTCTGAGAAAAACTAGACCAGCCAGATTAAAAACAACCTATTTGAAGAGATTGGTGGATTGCTGACACATTCTGAGACTGAGGCTGAGAGAAGACTAGATACTTTCCACGCCTGGCAAGGCAGCAGTGAGTCTCGAAGTTACTCCAGACTGATCAGGACAGAGGCTCTCATCCCTGCCCCAGACTGCTTCCCGACATGGCCAGGGTTTCCCCAGGTTCATCCACCTCAGGAGTGTCCTGCAGAGCCCTCTGGAGAACCAGCCTCAGGGTGTGTCTCCGCTTCCACCATCGCTGCCTGAAGGAGCCAACGAAGAAGTAAATGATGGGGTTGGCACAGCTGTTGACACAGGACAGGGGTCCTACAAACTGGTCAAGATGAGACAAGGCAGGAAACCAGAATAAGAGGTTCCAGTGGATGCCTAAGGGCAGGCCACAGAGGAGGAAGACCAGCATTGTGAGTATGATGGTCATGTAGAGCCTGGTGGGCAGCACCCGATGGGAGCCACACAACAGTCTGGTCATCAGGGCCAGGCTGGACCCAGTGAGAAGCACAAATAACAAAATCAGCCATGACACAGTGATGATATCCGACGCTGAGCACCAACCATCAATTACATTCGATCTCATGAAGCCACAGTAGTTCCCTTCCAGGATGCTCAGCAGCAGGGACAGGGCCCAGAGCAGGGCACATATTATGGCGGACAAGTGTCTGGGGCGGCGGCAGCGGTACCAGATGGGCCACAAGACAGACAGGCAGCGCTCCGTGCTGATGGCGCTGAGAAAGCCCAGGCCTGAGATGTAGGCAAAGAATGACACAGGCGGGAGAAATCTGCTAATTACTTCATCGACCAAATCAAAGTCAAAAAGTAAAAGTAGACTATGTATAAATGGGTAGCCGAGGAAGAGGAAGTCAGCCCCCGCCAGGTTGAGGATGTAGACCGAGAAGGCGTTCCTGCGCATGCGGAAGCCCAGGAGCCAGAGCACCACGGAGTTCCCTGCCAGCCCCACCAGGGCCACGATGGCTGTCAGTAATTTCAAGAGCATGAACTGTGTATCAGATTCATGGAAGGCCTGATCAATTCCACTCGTTGGTGTGAGGTTGGACTCCCATGCTGTGGCGGTCATATCTGCGCTCAGAAACCCTGCAGTTTTAGGCCTGGAAACAAAACAAGACTTGAACACAGGACTGAATTTAATGTCTCTGCATTTTAGAGGAGGAAGAAGCTCATTTGCGAAGAAGAGGGAGAGGGGCAAAGGGTTTGAATAGAGGTAATTGAGACAGAAATAGGGAAATTGGGGTTATTAAGTGATTTTCTGATGATATGTGTAATATAAAAGTTAGTTATTGTTGCTCCATGTGATTTGGAGTAAAGATTTCTTTGCAGATCAAAGCATTTGTGTAAGAGAATTCTCATGGTGGTGGTGGAGTTAGGAAGTGCTTACTTCTATTTTAGAAAGGGCTTTGGATGAAAAGAGAGAAGCTCTTGCAGAATTTAGGTGTGAGACATAAATCTACTCACACATAGGTGAAGAGTGGCAGCGGATGAGTGCTTACATGGTATTTCCTCTTTTAATCCTCCAAATAGCCCTATGAGGTCAGTACTATGCCTATACCCATCTGGCATATGGGAAAAGAGAAGAAGAAGGAGGCCCAG